TAAGATAATGTACAAGAGGCATCGTTGCAGAAAAATTATACACTTCTCAGCTTTTATTTTGACTTGGACAAAATGTTTAAATCAGAATTTTCCAGTAAATAATTTTGAGCTTGACTGGATTGTCAGTCTCAATTAAGGATACATTTGTTTACAGAAGTGAATTTTTTGTAGCACATTTCTCCACATGGCAAATTTTTAGGATGCGAATATGCAAAGATCTTTAGGGCCCTATCTCATACACCCCGCGTAATAAGATGCAAGACATATTTGCCGTGATTTGTTGCTATTTTTTAGACCAGCACATCACTAATTTCCACGTTTTGCGTCACATTGTTTAAATAGCAAATCCATTTGTACCTCTTTGTAGACTAGTGAGTGTCATATCTGTCAATCCTCCTATTTTTTCCCGGGAATCTCTCGTATTTTACTATTCTATCCCGTTATCATCCCGTAAAGGTATTTTCCAGTATTTTTAATCTTTCTATGAAGGGTGGCAAATAAACATTAAATAGGCAATCCTCCCTATACGCAGCCCATACCGGCAAACCAACAGGCAACATCCAATGCTTTTCAATGTGAGTCTGTTCTATGCTTCATTTTACTAAGCATAAAAACACTTTGAAATAAATATAAAATCTAAATATAAAAAATATATATCCTTTTTTATTACAGGTACTGTCGCCCCTCCTATGCAATCCTCAAAACAGTCATGTACGTAACAGACAGCGCATCTGTCAGTTGACACGATCCATAGTGATAAATAGACGGTGTTTCCATAACGGATTCTGTACACACAATTTGAAGCGGAATACTTTCGAAACAAATCTTTGCACCTAAACTAAAATATGAAGCTAATGGATGTCTTCAGTGAACATAACATCGTTTCCTTATCCATGAAAGTAAAGGAGAAAAGTAAAGAGTAAAAGTAAAGCAAAGAGAAAGAGACCAAATGGAGGAGGCTTTGTTCTGTTTTCTCGCTAGAGAAGCATTTAGTTTTTCCACTTACAAAGTCCATGTGCTTTAGAATTTGCACCTAGATTGTTAAAATAGAGCCCATTGTCTTGTTTGTCATTGACCCTTCAAAATATTGCACTTCAAGTTTGTTGTCTAATTCATTTATAATTCATGTACTTCATCAAGATTGTGTTGCTTTTCCATTTTTCATCTACCTTTTTAAATTCATTGCATCTCCAATCAAAAGCATGCATGATGCTTGTTTACTAGCGCAAACACGTTGTGGATTTTAGTCAGAATGCATGTGGGCATGTCTCTCTGGACAGTGGAGATTTCTCTTTTTTCCAAACAAACAACAACAACAAAAAAAATCAAGAAAAGAAGTTTGATTTAGCTTGAAGCGATCCCTGCTGACACTCCGTGGGGCTGCGCTTTTTGAACCAGAAAGAACAAAGAGCCAAAAAAAGGATGTGCTAGACAAGGAGAGGGAAACAAGGAGCGAGGGGCCGCACGCTATACTTGGACATGAAAAAGAAGATGCGCAGATGAGAGGATATCGCTATAATTTGACATTTGCAGTCGGAGATGAGCTTCAATTTAGAGAGGCTTCTTGAGAATGGCAAATTGCACTGCCTCCTCTGGATGAGCTCCTGCGCTCTTTTTCCAATCCACTTCCAGTCGCTCATTGCTGGCCTCCGGAAAGGCAGGCTTTGGTTTCTTTCCCCTCAGCTGGTGAGCGCGTGCGATATCTCTTGCAGTCCACATGGCCTTAATGGAAAGGTTGTGCTGATGCTATCTAGTTTCAGCATTGAGATGGATTATGCTTTGTGCTTGACGCAGTGAAGAAACTAAGTCAGGCTCATGAAATGTGTGCCTGTGGTGTCATTTCCATAGGAATAACGCTTGCTTCTGTACGTTTGAAAATTGGAAAGAAAAAACATTGTGTTTGTACTTTTGAGAAGTCTTACATACCAAAAGAAAACTATTTAAATTGTATCAATTGTTCTTATGAATTCATGAAAATGACTGGTAATGCTGTATTATTTATGTCAGGCCAGCAGGTAGTGATGTCACAGTGTGAAGAAACACTGCATTTCTGTGCTCAAACAGTCCTGTAGTCCTGCATTGTTGTTTTGGCGGGAGAAAATTCACACATGAACATTTAAATGACATTACCGTTTTCACATAAATATGTTTTTGTTGTTTACACTAAGATTTTTTTTTTTACTTTCTTGCCCCCCAAATGCAATTCAAATGGCCAAAATGCAAAAGATTCTCATTTTTTGTCTAGAATAATGCTGTGTAAGCCTGTTTTGAACACTATATAGTTGTGAAAATGAGTTCCTATTACAGAAATGCATTGTAAATACTATATACAGTTGAAACCAGAAGTTTACATACCCTGTTTGAAAAGGCACATAACCATTAAAAAAAGTCAGATGTTAATGTGGCTAAACTTTTTCTCTTTTAGGTAAGTTAGGATTATCAAATTTGTTTCTGTTATGCTTAATAACAGAATAATGAGAGAGATATTTTGTTGAGAAATTGTTATAACTTTTCTTGTAAGTCAAGTTTATATACAATAGGATTATTATGCCTCTAAAAAAGCTTGGATGATGGTGTCAAGGTTTTTGGAAGTTTCTGAATGGCTAATTGACAACATTTGATTTAATTGGAGGCACAACTGTAGAATAGTAATTAAGGAAATCCTCAAACACACTGATTCCTTCTGTGACAACATGGGTAAATCAACAAGCCAGAATCAACAATGAAGACAGATTACAATTTGCTAAATTACACGGGGGAAAAGACTAATTTTTGGAGACATGTCTTGTGGTCTGATGGAACTAAGATTGAACTGTTTGGCTATAACGACCAGTGTTACATTTGGAGAACAAGGTAGAAAACTTACAAGCCTAGGAACACCATCCCAACTGTTAAGTATGGGGGCGGCAGCATCATGTTTTGGGACTGTTTAGCTGCAGGAGGGACTGGTCCACTTCACAGCATAGATGGCATCATGAAGAAGAATATTATGTAGAAATATTGAAGCAACATATTAAAACATCAGCCTGGAAATAAAAACTTGGCCACAAATGGGTCTTCCAAACAGACCATGACCCTAAGCATACTGCCAAATTAGTTAAAATGTGCTTTAAGCACAACAGAGTGAATGTTTTGGAGTGGCCATCACAAAGCCCTGAACTCAATCCTTAAGAAAGTTTGTGGGCAGAGTTAAAAAAGCTTGTGCAAGCAAGACAAGACCAACAAATCTGACTCAGTTACACCAATTCTGTCAGGAGGAATGGGTCAAAAAACCTTCAAACTATTGTGAGAAGCTTGTGGAAGGATACCCAAAACATTTTACCAAAGTTATACTATTTAAAAGCGAAGCTAAAAATACCAAGGAAATCTATGTAAACTTTTGACTGTCTATAAATTAATAAAAAAAAAATTGTAAATTTTTTTCTTTTTTTTCATTTAAAGTGAGATACTAATTGTCTAATTCTATTCAATGATTTATGCTTAGCTAATTGTGCCCTCAGACATCATGGTGGCACAGTGAGTAGCACGATTGCCTCACAGCAAGAAGGTCGCTGACTCGAGTCTCGGCTAGGTAAGTTGGCGTTTCTGTGTGGAGTTTGCATGTTCTCCCCGTGTTCGCGTGGGTTTCCTCCGGGTGCTCCGTTTTCCCCTACAAATACAAAGATAGGTGATTTGGGTAAGCTAAATTGTCCATAGTGAATGAGTGTGTATGAATAGTAGTCTTATAATACACACAGTGTCAAGATGATTTATTGCCTTATGTCAATAATTTATGAGTATGTTTTGGACGGTATGGTAATAATTTATGGCATGGTTTGTCCAATGTGTTTCATGAATGTAAGACTGGTGACCAATGACAGGCAGCTTTCCCCAGTTCACAGGCTTAGGGTCCCTGCTTAGTGGTAGGATTTATGACGGTTTGTCCCAAATTGACAGTTGAACCAAGTGTCGGGCTGATTTTGGCAAAGATTTACAGTATAGTTAGATTTGTGGCAATGTGTATGGTTTGTCATTTTTACAACCTATGCAGCTCTTCTGGCATTCCAGCTCCTTCCAATCTGTGAGTGTATGTAGGGGGGTTTCAGGTTGTTGGGGTGTAATCGGGCAATCGATCGTATACCGCTGACTGAGGATCCTTTGATTTTGGTCTTACTTTGAAAACTTTGTTTGATCTTAAAAAGTTCTGGTTTTATCTAACTACCCTGGTCGTCGTGCTATCTGCCGTCCTACTGTATGGGAATGGTGGCTATGTATACATCTGTACCCCCAGAAAAAAGCTTCTCTCCTTATCTCGTTTATTCCTGCTGTGACGTAGTCTGTGGTACTTTAATTCACATCGGAGCCATGTGTTGTGGTAAAAAACAACAACAACAAAATTATTTTTAAAAGGATGTTTTAAAAAAGAAACAATGAAAAGTGCAGAAAAATCCAAATATTTTATATTCACAAAAAAAAAATAAAAATGTGTATGTATAAATGCGTGAAATAAATAATGTATAATATTCATTGTATGCTTAATTGTCTTACACATACACAAAAGCAGATCTTCAATCAGATGTTTTAAAAATCGATATACTGGCTAAAAGAAAAGATGTGTATTATTTAATATATCTTAATTTATTTCATTATTTGAGCAATATATACTTTTACTCGTATATTAAAATTGTTTTGTTTTTTTACACCAGTACAATGTGTGTTTTACATTGGAGGTGTGGACTATCAACACACGCCCACTTTTTTCACACATCATTTTACAAGACACTAAGCCCTCGTCCCTAAGAGTAAAATCACAGTATTTCGGAAAACCAACGTGGTTGAAAAGACTTCGGCTTTCAATTTTTTTGGGGGAAAAAAATAAACTGTTCCGGAAATAAAAATGGCAGGAACCTCTAATGGTAAGTTTATATATAAGAAATATTCAAAATACTGTTGTTTAAAGCAATCGTTTTTTTAATATTATACATGATTATTAAATCAGACATCGCTTAAAAGGCGAACTACCCCTCTCTCTGCAGACACCAGGACTTCAGGCGATATGGGCTGAGATTTTAGCGCTGAATACTGACGGTATGTTTTTTTTGGTTTGTTATATGTATATATATATATATATATATATGACATGTTTTTATTTATACATTACGGTATTGTGTGATGGGATATGTCATAATTTTCTTCTTTTATTGTCACCATTAGAGTTTAAAAATCTTGCTGAAAATCGTAGCTCACAAGGTAAAATTTGCTTTTCACGTTTTATTTATTTTTTTGTCTGTTTTATGTTTCTATAGGCGTACACGCTAAATTAGTCTGTCTCTTTTTTTACTAGAGTGTATTAACGAGTCGTCTGCACCTCGGACAGTTCATGAAGACGCACCATCAGGTATTTCTTTAGCAAAACTTTTTTTTTTTTTTTTTTTTTGTCTATTTTCATGTTTTCTACATCCACTAAAAAATCTTGTCTTTTTTTTTTTTACTAGCGTGTATAAATGTGTCGTCACCCCTGACGAGTATTCATGAAAACACATTACCACTAGGTAATTTTTAAAAACTTTTTTTTTTCTTGTTTATTTTTCCACATGTGTTAAATAATAATGAAAAAAAAAAATCTTGTATTGTGTTTGTTTTAACTATAGCGTCTATGAGTGAAATCATCAGCCGTGTCGACGACAAACGGTCTACCGGTCTACTAGAGGTCTACACAACAAGTACACGTGCAGGAACGAGCAGTATGTATTGTTAGATCAGTCATTGTTATATTTATTATTACCAAAATAATATTAATAATCATACCCTCCATTTATTTTAGGACGTAAAAGGAATATTGTGCCGAGAGACCGTCGTGTCGGTGGTGTAAAGCAGAAAGTAGTCACCACTACAGCACAGGTTCATGTGGATGCTACATCTGACGAAATAAGCGTTATACCAAATACACCTGAACCAAAACGACCAAGAAAATCACAAGGTATGTTATCACTATTTAATGATATAGAAAAAAAAATGTACATCTGGTTGATATGTTTACTCATTAGCATTATTCACACACACAGGCCAGACCGACCCAAATGTTGTTTCGAGTCAGGACGATGTTGAAAAATGGAACGACGATATGGTGAATGTTTGGAATGCTTCTGAGTTCTCAAACGAGATCCCGGTTCACGCTGCCACCACCGTGCAAGATTCGGATTCTGATACACTACCATCCAACCAGGAGGCTTACAAAAACAAGCAAAACACAAAACCGGTGCCAGTTGTGGATCAATCAAACACGTATGCAAAAGTTGCCACAAATGACATTCTGAAGTACAAGGAGCTTCTTTTACAGCTATCAAATGGATTGAACAATATTGCATCGCAGCAACAGAGAGATAAACGGACCATCGAGCTTTTCATCGCAACTGCTACAAAGGATTTAAAGCAGTTAAAAATTGATGCAAAGGAACATGCGGCCTTAGTTCGACGATGTATGGCTAATCATCAGAAAATAATGTACAATCAACAGAAAATAATGAATGATCAACAGATATTAATGAATGATAATAAATTGACTGTTCAATTATTGACATTGCTGGTCAACACACGCAAACAACAATCTCGGTAAGTTGTTTTTTTTTCTTTTAAATCGCATGTCTTTTTTCTACAATATGTCTTATGTGTAGTATTATGTTTTAGACGCTCATTTTAGGGTTTCTATATACTTAGATTTTTAGTAATTGATTTGAATGATTAGTTTTTGTAACTGATTTACTTATTGTACAACTATTGGTATTTTTTTTTTTTTTAACTACCGTAAATAAATTTGTGTTAAAATGGCCACAAAACGTTGTCTGGATTCAGATGGTAATGAACAATATCGTACAGTGAGATTTAGAGGAGATAGTAATGATGGTCACCACAACCAACAAAACACTACAGAAACATTGCGTCATTTAATTCAAACGGTTGAGGATATGGATAGACCTAGATCTACGACTGATGCGTTAATAGAACTATTAAATTCAGTTCAATCCATGTCCGATAATCAGCCAGAACCATCTTTTGATCTGAATGTGTTTTTGAGTTCTCCTCAGAACAGTGATGTATCTGAGGATAATCAACGAGAACTATGTTTTGATCCAGATCAATTTTTAAACATGTCTCAGAACATTGATGCATGTGATGAATGGTCTACTACTGATTTTGATATGGATCACTTTTTAAATACATCTCAGAGCAGTGTGTCTGAACAGAATTCAAAATCAGATCAGGATCAGATTGTATTATCATGTCAGACAGGTGAGGGGTCTGATACACGTCCTTACCAAACATTTAACCCCACCGCAGCAAACATGGGTCTAAGTCAAGATGAAATTGAAACACTAGTGAGACAAGGCGGTAGTGTGCACAAGTACACTGTAATACCTAGAGCGCGGTTTAACGGTCTGGAAATACATAGACGCATAAACCTGCGGGAGATATCATCCGCAGATTTAGCAGACTATACAACATTTTTACATGAATTGTTGTCTGAAATAGTTTCATTCTCCAGATTATTAGCCGGTGATTCCGGTGTAATAAACATTACATTGAGAGGGGAGAGTCTGACGTCTGATGTTAATACACTATTGTCGCCTCGCAACAACTATGATTTAGACCTCTTTATCAACCAGCTTGAAAAAATAATGCAAAGCAACTCTGAAGTACAGGCGGATCAGGCGTTGGATTTGTGTGTGTCAATAGCGACATGTAAAAATGGCGGCGGTCGTCGGAAGATACAAGATCTAGCACATGACGAAGTGATTAGAAGGAACAAAATGAATTTGTTTTGCCCTACAAATATCACGAATAATCTGTGTTTTACAATTTGCTTAGCACACTTTCTAAACCCTCAGAAGTCGCATTCAGAACTTGAAGCAATAGCAGCAAACATGCAAACAACAGCCGGCCACAAAGTTCAGTACAAAATAGCATTTGATGACATAGCGAGATTTGAACAGATGCTGAATATCAAAATTGTAACCTTTTATCGTTCGAACACTGGGATGTTGGAAAAGTATACTACCACAGACAAGCCACATTCCAAAACGGCATATTTATACCTGCATGACGGTCATTACTTTTTGATTAAAAACCTAACAGCATTCATAGGTACACCATACGTTTGTGAGTATTGTCATGTAGGCTATACATGTAGACGAAATCACAGATGTGAATATGTGTGTGACGTTTGCAACTACCCAGACTGTCATACCCAAAAAAAACAAATAATACAGTGTAATGACTGCTTGCGCTTCTGTAGATCAAGGTACTGTTTTGAGATGCATAAACAACCTCCACCAGGACAACAGTTTGCACAATGCGATGTTACAAAATATTGTAAAATGTGTAACAGGCGTTACTACATCAGTGGATCCAAACCCAAGCCACATCGTTGTGAAGCTGAATATTGCGTCCACTGTGGTGAAAGTTTGGCTACTGGTGGAGAACATGAATGCTTTATACAGCCATACCAACCTATGGAGCCGAGCGATCGTTACATTTTCTATGATTTTGAGACACGATTTGAAAATGGTAAACACGTTGCCAATTTTGTGTGTGCGATTACATTTAACGGGGAAGAATTTGTGGCTGAGGGAGTTGATTGTGTGGATCGTCTAATTAAAAAATTTAGACGACCCAAGTATCGTAATTATACATGGGTTGCACACAATGCGTCTGGTTTTGACAATTTCATACTTTTGGAATATTTTGTTAGGATGGGAATACCACCAAAAATCACAATGCGCGGCTGTCGTCTGATCTTCATGTTTGACCGTACATACAAGCAAAGGTTTTTAGATTCATACCTTTTCATGCCAATGCGTCTATCCAAGACCCCTGAGGCATTTCAGCTAGATAATATTGAGAAGGGCTATTTTCCACATGTGTTCAATCGTGCCGAAAACGACTGCTACATAGGCCCATACCCCGAAAAACATTTTTACGGGTATGAGACGATGTCAGACAAAGAGAGATCAGACTTTGATGCATGGTACTGTACAGTCTCAGGCAAAGTCTTTGATTTTAAAAAAGAACTGGCAAAGTATGGTAAAAATGACGTTGTGCTGTTGAGAAAGGCATGCATAAAGTACCGTCATGAGTTCATTTTGTGTACAGATCTCGACCCGTTTACTTTTACAACACTTGCCGGTTGCTGCATGGGTGTGTACAAGTCCAAATTTCTGCCAAAAGATACATTGGCACTGACTCGTAATGACGGCTACACAAATCAAAACAAAACATATTCAAATGCCTCAATTGAATGGCTAGAATATGTTGCAAAATCGCGGTCCATAGAAATTCAACATGCGCTAAATGGCGGCGAGGTGTCATTTGGTAAATATCATGTCGATGGTTTTTATGACGACGGACGTGTGAAAAAAGCATTTGATTTTTTAGGCTGTTTTTATCATGGATGCGAACGTTGTTATAATCCATACGATATAAACCCGTTATCAAAATTGTCTTATGGGGTTCTCAGAAGACAGGTTAATGACAGGTGTGAAATTTTGCAGCGGATGTATGGCTTACAGGTAGAGTTCATGTGGGAGTGTGATTGGAAAGCGGCTAAAAATTCAGATGTCGGTGTGATGGATTTCATGTCCACATACAAACACCCTGAAAGATTAAAACCGCGTGATGCATTATTCGGAGGTAGGGTAAACGCATTTAAGCTGTACCACAAAACATCGGACGATGAAAAGGTGTTTTACAGAGACATCACCTCTCTTTACCCTTTTGTACAAAGTACAAAAAGCTATCCGGTAGGGCATCCAAAAATAATTTTTAAAGATTTTGAAAATCTTGAAAATTATTTCGGATTCATCAAAGCAGAGGTCATACCGCCCCGTGGTTTATTTCACCCTGTTTTGCCCTATAGAACAGGGGGTAGGCTGATGTTTCCACTCTGCAGATCATGTGCTGAAGAACAAAATCAGGACACCCCCTGCCAGCATGCTGATAAGGAAAGGGCCCTGACAGGATGTTGGGTCAGCGTAGAGTTGTCAAAAGCTGTGGAGCGAGGCTATGTTGTCTCTGAGGTGTATGAAGTTTGGCATTTTTCTCAACGCTCTGATACACTATTTAGTGATTATGTTAAAACTTTTTTACAGTTTAAACAGGAGAGTTCCGGATTTCCAGAGGATGTAGTGACTGATGAGGAGAAAGAGTCTTATGTCAAAGATTACTTTGAAAAAGAGGGGGTTAAACTCAATATCGATAATATAACATTTAATGCCGCACGACGTTCCATAAATAAGCAAATTCTTAATTCACTTTGGGGACGCTTCAGCTTGAAATCACAGCTTCCTAGCTCAGAACTAATTTCAGATCCTGAACAGTTTGCTCGGCACATTTTTG